TTGTGTGAGGAGTGTGACCGAGGGGGCAACAGCTCTCTGGCGCCGCCCTGGAGGCAATTCCAGCACAACCACCGTCTGGCAGAGTATCTGTGTGTAGATTTGTATAGGAGAAGTGTTTGTGTATGTGTGGTTTGGGTGTTTATCTGTGTAGTATGACTGCTGGTATGGGGTCAGTGTTTTTTTATATGTGTGTGTGTGTATGTAAGGGGATAATACGTGTCTACATGTAGGCGTGAGTATACCTGTCTGTCGATGTTATCCTGTATGGCATCTGTATGAAGGCGGGGTTTGTGTGCCAGTGTGCCACGGATTAGACGAGTGATAAGCCTGTGTGTTAATGTGTCTACTTCAGGGATGAACCACACTAACCACCCCCATCAAAGTGCCCCAAGACGCACGTCCCAAACTGGTTTACCATCTGAATGTCCCGTGAACATGATTTCACTAGAACATCTGCTACAAAATTCCTAGAGGAAAATACTTAATTTGATGTAAACCAACACAAGTCTTAATCCATTTGGCTAAAAGAAACTCAAGATACGAATGTCCAACAATTTAAGACAATTGTCATGTAACATTTTATTCCAAAAAGGGATACAATATCGTTAAGCTCTTTTTGTAAGCTGGGGCTCATGCAGCTGGATCTATCTCTCTATGTTGTCTGAAGTGAGGATGTAACCTGCATTCTACAGAAGACACCATGATGCTTGTAAGTCAACTGTAATAAAGACCCAACTGCTCAGCTTCTGCCATTTTTGAATTCCAGTTAAAGGAAGCAAATATGTTTCTGGAGTAACTGGGCAGAAATAGACAGTGTCACGCCTCCCAAGGGGACCTCTGCTATGCCAAGGAAGGAGGTTCAGTAAGAAATAACATCTGATTAAAATTTCAACTTGTAAAATATTTGGTAATGATTAACTGCACCTTCATAATGTATTCATTAAGTATTCATAAAACATTCATAAATATCATGTATGTATACCTTAACATCCTAACATCCCTTAACAGCTGTGATATACATTAATAACAAACATTATATAATAATAACAAACATTATAATTGTATAATCATGTAATGTTTGTTATTAATGTATATTAAAGCTGTTAAGGGATGTTAGGATGTTAAGGTGTACTTGCATGCTGCTTATGAATGTTCTATAAATGCATTATGAAGTGTTACCAAATATTCAACTCTGAATAATAAGAAAGTATTACAATTAGTATAACTTATTACTAGTGACCTCGAATATTCATTATTTTAACAGAAATGGATATTGAAAGGCATTGGGAAATGATCATATTCTGATTGTACGGTCTGTTGGGAGGTTGGCTGTAAACTAATTGGTTACCCAATAGTCAACACTTTCCATTTGATGCAGAGGCTTTAAATTGATTGGGCTACTTGTTTTAACTACTCTTCATTGGTACCACACAGCCCTCTGTCTCTAACTTTTGCCACCAAAACTCACCAAGGCTGTACCGTTTTGTCCTCCTGGTTTCTCAATTTAACATGTGACCAATGAATTCACACATTATTGACAACAGAGGGACACCAATTAGTCTTAAATACCACAGTGACCTAAAGCTTCACTGAGCAGAAATGTCTCAGGTGTTTAAGGTCAGACAGAGTTTGACATTGAAAATTTCACCATTTGCTACTGGGACCAGGTGCAGGTCTCAGAAAAACATCTGTGGTAACTGTCATGTCTCCGGCAAGGTAAGTTTTAATCAAAGAACTGGACTCAGTACAGGAAAAGAATGGCAGAACAGCAAAAGTGTCTGCAGAAAACAAGTTTTAGCAAGGCAAGGCAGCGGCAAAGAACAGACATCCTACTCTACGAAATGCTAACAGTGTTTCCTGAAATCGCAGAGATTCCGGCACTAAAGTGGCCCCAGGAAATGCCCCATAGCTGACTGTGATGGCCCCTGGTCCCGGGCTGGGTGTCCGTGAGGTCCGGGAGGCCGGGACGAGTGCAATATTGGGGGGAGATGGTACAACTTTGCACTACGTCCCGCACCTGCCTGACCCAGGGAGGGGTCGAGTTCAGGGGAATTTACTCCGGGAGTTTCTCGTCACTCAACGTCCATGTGCCTGCAGAGGAGACAAAGCACTGGCCTGGGATCAGTCTGCCCTCAGCTACATGCCATCAAAACAGGGAGAGACATGGGCACCTTCCTATCTTCATGCAGTTATACGTTTGTCTGTGGTGGGCAAGGGCAACAGCACACAAAATCCCTGAAACGGCTCCCATTCTGTTACATTGCAGTTAAGCGATTAAAAGAAAATACAGACTAAGAGAAAAATACTCAGTCACTTGGTGATTACCTAAATACTTATTTTTCTGCCTTGGGATATTTACAAGACTTCTGTCAAATTTTGTGTGAGTATGTGTGTATATGTGTGTGTGTGTGTGTGTGTGTGTGTGTTTGTTAAATATTTTTTATTTTTGGGCAGTGGTGGCTTGATGGTTAGGGAAACGCACTTGTAATTGAAAGATTGCAGGTTCGAATCCCAGACCAACAAGGCACCACTGAGGTACCCTGAGCAAGGTGCCGCCCCCAAGCACTGCCCCCGGGATGCTGAATTAGCTGCCCCCTGCTATGTCACGAAAGTCACATATGGGTTAAATGCAGAGGACACATTTCGTTGTTGTGTGTTGACACTGATCACCTAATTCTAATTCTTTTATTTCTTCTAAAATCATCAATCAATTACCGAAATCAGTTTAACATATACATATTATATTGTTTGGGTATTTTGATGCAGTCGCACTTTCGTTAAGAATGAATAGATGAGGATAATGCCAAAATTAACTAACTAGTGCTTATTAAAAATAAGTTAACTGTAGTACATGATCATAATTCTGAAGCACGATTTAAAAATGGCAAATGTCTACAGACAGTCTATAAGCACACTGATGTCTCTTGAACAAGGACAAATTGTAAGAGCGACAAGTGCAAGTTCCAAATTCCGATGTAAAATGTACATTACTTGGTGAGACTATTCTGTGAAGGTTATGCGAAACTTACTACATGACCGAACTAGTGTGAGACTGGTGATGCGCTGTTTTCCCCATTCTCTCAAATGGATAAAAAATACTTTAGAGCTTAGACTCACCATAAATTGGATTTTCCTTTATTCCCGAGACCCATGCCTATCGCAGTATTTACAGTAAGTATTTACAGCAGGAACGCGGTGCGATGCGTGTCTCGCGTCTGCGGCTGCGCTGTGTGCCGCGCACGTTTGCTGGGCATCAGCCTTTCCGATGTCCCTCCCGCAAAGCACAAGGGGCGTAAAAGCCCCCTAAAATGGACCTCTCTGGCCTGAATAGTCTGCGCTGTGCCGGCGGCCCCCGCCTCTGCTGCCACTAAATGCACAAAGGCGACCAAAGCGATGCACCGCGCGCGTCTTAAAGGGCCAAGACTCCCGGGACGCTGCCGCTGCTAGATTGAACCCAGGCCTCTCTGGGCCTCTAAGTTAAGGAAGCGAAATTAATTAGCACGCCAGTCTATCTTTTTTGACGGTAAACCTGAAGTACAGCTTTTCCCCAACGTTTTTTCCCCTTCCACGTGTTATCTGTCAGTGAACTTATGCTTCTGTAGCGGCCCTACTATCCGGAACCTCACACAGGATGTCTCAACATAATGCATTTCGCTTCCATATTTATGTTGATCGTTCTCCTATGTATGTATGTATGTATGTATGTATGTATCTATCTATCTATCTATCTATCTATCTATCTATCTATCTATCTATCTATCTATCTATCTATCTATCTA